TTATTCATCTCACTGCATGTGTTCCTAAAGAGTTTTTGCTAGACAAGAATAGTCTTTGTCTCACTAGGTAAGAAATCTGACCAAAAGTGATATGGTTATTTCTTTGAAGCTTTAACATTTGCCATCTTTGAAGTAGTCATACACTGAACCAAGAGGATAAAAGTATCTGGAAACAAGTGGCCTGTGAGAATTGGGCAGGGAAAACAGACTGTGTGTGTGTGTGTGTGTGTGTGTGTGTGTGTGTGTGTGTTACTCTTTCTTCCACTTTTATCTGCCCCTACATATTTACTACTGGCAGATCATCCATTTCGGGTTCACTGCTGCCATGGGGACATGAAGCCATAATATTAGTCTCTATATCACCATTAGCTGGTCATGTGCTCCCATCTCCCCTACTCTGGGTATTAAACTGTCACTGTGCTTAACCTGGATTTGGCCTGTATAAAATCCAAAAAACTAAAAATGCTTATCATGTCACACGTAAATCTCTTGGCCAAACGAACCGAGGGGCTTAGATGTATTTTGTCCTTTCTAGAGATGAATGTCTCTTGTTTTACTTCTCAAAACACAGAGAGTTAAGGGAGAAAGAAATGACACGAGTAAACACTAAGTTCTAGTTATACAGTGACTGGCTTCCAATTTTTTGATTAATGGATTAACGAATTAAATAAAGAATAGTTAGTGCCATTGCTTGAGATAGAGAATGATGGAAAATGGGATGAGGTGTGGGGAGGGGAGAATATCATGAACCCAGTATGAAGTGGGGAATAAATATAAACTATATTTGAACTGTATCTTAAATGTACAATTTGGAAATTGTGATAGTTGGATGAGGGTCTAGGCTGTCATTTACCTTTTGTGATATTAAAGCTAGGTTCTTTTTTCAAAGTGTATTTATTTTGAGAGAGAGTACAGGAGGGGCAGAGAGAGAGGGAGAGATAGAGAATCCCAAGCAGACTCCACACTGTCAGTGCAGAGCCTGATGCAGGGCTCGAACTCACAAACCATGAGATCACCACCTGAGCCAAAAACAAAAGTCGGACGCTTAATCAACGGAGCCACCCAAGTGCCCCTAAAAGCTAGGATCTTAAACAAAATGCGAGCATAAATCCTTAGGCTTTTTTGAAACTTTTTTGAAACACTTACTACGTGTGAATTGACATTGTGTGTACAAATCATTCTTATGCGTTCATTAAAATAGGACCCTAAAGGACCCAGTCTGGACATTATTTCCTGGACCTAGAGTTAATCTATATTTTTAAAGGAAAATAAATTGTTTCTTCACAACCATTCCACAATTCACCCTTCTCCCTAATTCAGATGGTCTTTCTCAATCACTCCAAATTAATGATACATTCATCACATAGTTTTACAAATAGCCATGCATATTAAATCATATCAGGTAAACATTCAAATTCCAAAACTTCTGAAAAGGGGAGCAGGCTGACCAAAATTTTTGTGGCTCATAAGACTTTGGCAATTTGTTTGTGGGCCTGATACCTAACTTTTTCAACAGTAAGCAAAGCCTGGAGCAGTAATCATCCACGTGAAAAGTAACTTCAAATGTCACAGTACCTCCCATGCTATGGCAATTTAGCAAGTGATGATGTGACTGATTGAGCCAAAAAGAAAATGTAATGAAATTATTGGTTTGGAACACAACATGCTTAAGATCTCTCAGCCTTTTGGGGCGCCTGGGTGGCGCAGTCGGTTAAGCGTCCGACTTCAGCCAGGTCACGATCTCGCGGTCCATGAGTTCGAGCCCCGCGTCGGGCTCTGGGCTGATGGCTCAGAGCCTGGAGCCTGTTTCTGATTCTGTGTCTCCCTCTCTCTCTGCCCCTCCCCCGTTCATGCTCTGTCTCTCTCTGTCCCAAAAAAATAAACGTTAAAAAAAAAATTAAAAAAAAAAAAAGATCTCTCAGCCTTTTGTCTCTTCGAAGGTCAATAGACAACTCTTTGAAATACAAGACATGCAAAAGAATGTTAACATTTGGAAAGCGAACCTGCATTCACCACTTATCTGCTTTGAAGGATTTCTCGCCCACAAACGCTAATAGAAAACAAAATGATAAATGATTCTTGTCACCCCCCCCAATGTCTCTACCAACACCACACCACCCATGATGAGAAAAGACTTTACAAAGGTGATGATAATTTATTGACTGAAGTTTACTTTTAGGCAAATCGTTTTGGTATCGGTTTATAAAATGGATGTGATTTTAGGCAAGATGAAATCTTAAAATTGATCATCACGGTTGAAGGGTTTTTGAGTTAATAGGGAAGAAGATAGTGTTATAGAGAGAGAATCCCATAGATCTTGTTTCTGGAGTTAAGTAACCTAGGCAGCTAAGAGGGAGACAGATTTGGATAATGGCTTTGACTTGGATTAATACGTGTCCATCTCATTCTGATGCTGTTAGAAATACAGATCTTTGGGACACCTGGGTGGCTCATTCGGTTGAGCATCTGACTCTGATTTCCACTCAGGTCATGATCTCACAGTTCGTAAGTCTGAGTCCCACATCAGGTTCTGCACTGACAGTGCAGAGCCTCCTTGGGATTCTCTCTCTCTCTCACTCTGTCCTCCCCTGCTCATGTACTCTCTCTCTCTCTCTCTCTCTCTCTCTCTCTCAAAATAAATAAATAAAAAGAAAAAAGAAATATGGTTCTTTAAAAGTCTCCTTCTGAATTTTAATATATAAATGAGTCATTAAAATATTGACCTCTGGGGCGTCGGGGTGGCTTAGTCGGTTGAGCGGCTGACTTCTGCTCAGGTCATGATCTCGTGGTCCGTGGGTTCGAGCCCCACATCTGGCTCTATGCTGAAAGCTCAGAGCCTGGAGCCTGCTTCAGATTCTGTGTCTCCTTCTCTCTCTGCCCCTCCCCCACTCATACTCTGTCTCTCTCAAAAAATAAACAGTAAAGAAAAGTTTTTAAATATACTGACTTCCAGTTAGATTCTGCTTCGTATCATATATAATCTTGTTGATAAGAATATTGGTTTGTATGTGAAAGCTCAATAAATATTTGTCAACCAAATATACGCTTCTTGGATTTAGGAAAGTTTCAGACCATAAAAGGACCTTATGTGCTTTCGAATTTTAAAACAAGTCTTTCGTTTTATAAACAAAAAAGCTCAGGCCCAAAGGAGTGTGGTGGTTTGCCCAAGCACACATTCACACATAAGACTTAATATTTTTTTTTCTTTTTTTTTTCAACATTTTATTTATTTTGGGGACAGAGAGAGACAGAGCATGAACGGGGGAGGGGCAGAGAGAGAGGGAGACACAGAATCGGAAACAGGCTCCAGGCTCCGAGCCATCAGCCCAGAGCCCGACGCGGGGCTCGAACTCACGGACCGCGAGATTGTGACCTGGCTGAAGTCGGACGCCCAACCGACTGCGCCACCCAGGCGCCCGTGTAAGACTTAATATTGATACTCACTTTAGAATATAATGGAATGTTAAAAGCAAGTACCTGAAAGTTCCCTAAAATCTGGGTTGTTGAATCCTGATTCTGCCGCTTACCCGTTGTTGATGAGTGTATATGTATATTTCTGAAGTTGCCACTCCTACAAGAAAGTTACTAACTTTGAGCCTATCTATTGTTTTTGTTCCCTCCCCATAGGAGCTATTGTTCAAAAAAATCGACATATAACTGACTTACAACATTGTATACGTTTAAGGTGTATAATAGATTTATAGATTTATATATTGCAATATGATGACCTACATTTTCTTATCCTTAACTCCGACACAGGAACTCAGCCAACATCCAAACAATAATGAGTTCACATTAGAAATGTTCTGTGTACTATAGAAAAGTGATCCCTCTCCTCAAATACATTTGATGAATCGGTATCATGGCACAAGGTCACAACTCAGTTTCTAGATTTCCATTACCAAACGCTGCAACAGAAATGAGGCAATGCTTTTGCTCCCCATTAAAAAAGAAGAAATGATACTGAAGTCAGTGAGTATCAGATTTTTGTATGGGGATGTCCACACAGACACAGCCTCCACCTGTGGATCTGAAGTAGAACAGTGGAGTCCGTGTGAACAGATAGCCCAGCCTGGGTCTTTGCATTCAAGATTCCATGCCATTGCTTCACCTTGGGGTGAAACCAGCCTGCCCTGCAACAGCTTATGTCCTCATGCCGTTGGGAACTCAAGATGAAATCTTTTCTGCTTTTCAAAGAGCAGTGGAGATCCAGGGCAGATGGAAAAAAGTGGAGCACTTGTTTCCATAGATAAAGGGGCTGGGGGGGCGGACAGAAGACTGATAAAGAGTAGATCGAATAAGGTTTAACTACATATGTTGAAATATACCCAACAAACATCTTAAAGAACATTCCAACCATTTTGGGATTTAGCCACCATGTCAAATAAGTAAGGATATTATAAAATGACAAAACCTTAGTTCAAATAAGTTTCAGCGTTCTCCAGTGTATAATTTAAGTATAAATTTGTATTTTGTTTTCTTTGCCTATTTTAGGTAGATTGAGTGCAAGTTTTAGCTTTAAATAGTGGCAGGGTATGAAGGACTATATTAGGTATAAAAAAGGAAGAATGCTGGGGACATGGGAGTTGGGTAAGAACTAGAAGTGACGTCATTTGGGTGGGCATTTTGCTGAACAAAAGGGCAATAGATACCAACCCCTGTTTTGCTGTATAATTCAGAAATCGTAAAGCTTTTAGTTTTAGGATGGGCTCATTTACTTTCTTTCCAATGGGAGTTATAAACCAGATTGTTAAAAACCCAGCAATTTGGATATCATGTTTCTTAAATTCAGGTACATCTTAAGGGAATACTAAAACTTCTAGTTGGAACTGTTAGGCATCTGTCTGCCCGTCAATGCAAAGCATAAATGTGGATTATTTGAGAGCATTAACTCTGAAAGCCACTGAGATGATTTCCCTGAGATGAAAGAAACAAAAACAGCAACAACAACGAAAACAATGGATATGCCAATAATTTTTCTTACTGCTGCTAACACTCACCTGGTAGCTCATTATGTTGTTTCTACCAAATCACTCAGTGGCCTCATCTAGCCTCCCTTCAGCAGTCAGTAAGAGCCTCCAAAGTCTGCTTACACATTCACATCCATGACAGGCTAGTTCATGGACAAACACAAAAAGGGGGCATTTTTAAATCGGGGTAACGAGGCCCTAACACAGCTGTAAAAGTGGGAACACATCCTTCTTCATTTATACCATAACCACTATTCCCTTATATATCAATTTAATTATATTTTCCAACAACTATGTCGCTCTTAGTTCACAGTCTGGTAAAGCCCCTAGACTTACTTCAGATAAAGTGATGTGGTTTAGCCAAATTGCAGGACCACAGAGATGTCATGAAGAAGTTTGCCAAATTTCTTGCCAAGATCTAGCAAGCCATTCTTGTGCGCCAATGAATAGCAATATGAAAATGATGATGATGATGAAGATTATACACTTCTTTTATCAAAAGTAAATAATCTTCATAATAAAAGATAACTATCGTTATTACCTATTTTCACGAGATCCAAATGAATAATGTCACAAACTCTCCACTGTTGAAAAACTTCCAGAAATGTCGAATTTTAATAAATGCAAGCTTTCCCACATTTTCCCCCATTGGCCCACTATTGTCTTCCATAGGTTTTTAAAGAACAAATTGAAGGGGCACCTGGGTGGCTCAGTTGGTTAAGCCTCTGACTTCCGCTCAGGTGGTCATCTCCCTGTCCACGGTGTCGAGCCCCGCGTCGGGTTCTGTGCTGACAGCTCAGAGCCTGGACCCTGCTTCGGATTCTGTGCCTTCCTCTCTCTCTGCCCCTTCCCCGCTCACACTCTGTCTCTCTCAAAAATAAACATTAAAAAAAATAATAATTGAAGCAAATTTCTGCCACCACCCCCCAAGATTTTTTCCCCAAATTTCACATAGCAAATAGAGTTTCACCATTTGATATCTGAGACTCATACAAACACAGGTTTATAATAATACTGGCAGTGTACTCTCAATAATACGGTCGAAGTGTACTTTGACATCGCTAAGTTATAGAAGCATTATTTCCGGTGTTTCCGGAAGCTCGTGTGTTCAATCAGAAGAAACACATAACTTTCCTTCACAGTCAATTAACAATAAGCAGGATTGTTTAACGATAGTCACTTCATAAAATAACATTGCCATGGAAATACATTCGAATAAACATACTTATTAACTTCAGATTCCGAGGTTTTCTGAAAATACAGCCATCTATAGCTATTGGTCTGGGCTTTAGCTAAACAAAGGTTTCCATTTCGACTACGGGAGTTGGGCAGAAGGAATCCTTGTCATAAACAGCCACTATTTGCATATTAGTATTAGAAAAATAAGTAGATAGCCTTCTGTCAAAAGCCCTTTTTTATTCATCAACCAGTTTAGCCTTCTGATATTCCATTCTTTCCTTTAAACCCTGCCACATATGATTCGGCACTTAAGCACTATGTTTAACGTTATGCATTGTAATTAATTGTAATGTATCGAGGGGAATTATCTTGATTTCAGCTGACATTTCAAGACACCTTAAAGGGAGATGCATGGTCTTTGCTTATAGTCAGGGGAGCGAAGCCACATCTGAGTATTTTTGAGGGTATTTGACCTTGGAGCAGTCATTTTTCCCTACCTAAAATGTCTAATCTCAAAAATGAGTAGGCTGATCTAAGATCCTTTTCCAAAGCTGGGATTTAAAAAATAAAACACACATAAAATGATACTTCTCTTCTCCTACCACGGCATTTAATGTTCACATCCATTAAATTCTAAGTATGAAACATGCAAAACTAGATTAGAGCTTTCTTTATATCAGATAATTTTGTGATATCAATGTATAAAAATGAAGATGGAAGTTTTGAAAATTGAAAGTAGGGGGAAACTTATTTAGCGAAGCTCATAATTTTTTTTAACAGTTCTTTTATTACTTTATTTCTTTTACATGGCACAAAAGTGTTTATTAGCTTTTTTTTTTTCATTTCAACTTTATTGGAGGTATGTATAATTGACATATAAAATTCTAAGACGCTTAAAGTGTACAATCATGGTAATTTGATATATTTATACATTGTGAAGGGATTCCTGCCATCTAGTTAACATATCCATCACCTCACATATGTACACACACACACACACACCCTTTTATTTTTGGTGAGAACATTTAGGCTCTACTGTCTTAGCAAATTTTAAGTATACAATACAGTGTTATTAATTAGAGACACCGTGTTTTACATAATATCCTCAGATCCTATCCATCTTATAACTTTTACCAACTTCTTATCTCCCCCATCCTCCAGCCCCTGGAAACTATTTTACACTCTCTGTTTCTATGAGTTCAATTTTTTTTATAGGTTCCACATATAAATTATACCATGCAACACTTGTCTTTCTCTGTCTTATTTCACTTAGCATAATGCCCTCAAGGTCCCTCCATGTTGCCTCAAGTGGCAGGATTTTCTTCTTTCTCATGGGTCAGTAATATTCCAGTGTGTGTGTGTGTGTGTGTGTGTGTGTGTGTGTGTGTGCATGCACATGTGTGTGTGTATACATATCACATCTTCTTTATCCATTCATCAGTTGATGGATGCTTAGGCTGTTTCCATATCTTGGCTGTTGTGAATAACACTGAAATAGATATGGGAGTGCAGATACCTCTCCAATATCCTATTTTCATTTTCTTTGGATATATACCCTAAGAAGGATTGCTGGATCTTATGGTAGGCCTATTTTTAATTTTTTGAGGAAGCTTCATACTGTTTTCCATAGTGGTTGCACCAATTCATTCCCACCAACAGTGCCCGAGGGTATGCTTTTCTCAGCTTCCTCACCAGTACTTGTTAGCTCTTGTCTTCTTGATGATAGTCACTCTAACAAGCATGAGGATTTAGGTCTTGGTTTTGAACTACATTTTCCCGATGATTAGTGATATTGAGAACTTTTACATGTACTTGTTGGCCATGTGTTTGTCTTCTTTGGGAAAATGTCTATTCATTTCCTCTGCTCACGTTTTAATCAAATGTTGTTGTTGTTGTTTTTGTTTGGTTTGGGGGGCTCTGTTTGTTTTGCAATTGAGTTGTATGAGTTCTTTACATATTTCGGATATTAATCCCCTATCAGACACATGATTTTCAAATATTTTCTCCCATTCTATAAACTGACTTTTCCTTTTGTTGGTTTCCTTTGCCATGTAGAAGTTTTTGTTTTTATTTTTGTAAAACGTTTATTTATTTTTTAAGTAATCTCTACACCCAACATGGGGTTCACATTCACAACCCAAGATCAAAAGTTTCATGCTCTTCCAATTGAGCCAGCCGGGCACCCCACTGTGCAGAAGTTTTTAGTTTGATGTACTTCCACTTGTTTATTTTTGCTTTTATTGCCTTGTTTTTATTGTCAAATCCAAAAACTCATCACCAAGTCCAATGTCAAGTAGCTTACACCCTATTTTCTTCTAGGATTGTTATGGTTTCTTCTAGGATTGTTAAGGTTTCTTACCTTCAAGTCTTTAATCAATTTTGAGTTAATTTTTTGTGTATGGTGTGAGAGAGGGGTCTAGTTTCATTCCTTTGCACTTAGCTTTCCAGTTTTCTCAAACCATTTATTGAAGACATTATCCTTTCCCCATTGAGTTTCTTGGCTCCTTTGTCAAATTAATTAACCACATATAAATGGGTTTATTCCTAACTTCTCTATTCTGTTTCATTGATCTATGTGTCTTTTTTATGCTAATACCATACTGTTTTGATTACGGCTGGAAATCAGGAAGTATGATGACACCCACTTTGTTTCTTCTTTCTCAAGATTGTTTTGGGGTCTTTTGGGGTTCCACACAAATTTTGGGATTTTTTTTGTTCCATTTCTGTGAAAAATGTGATTGGAATTCTGATAAAGATTACATAGAACCTGTAGATTGTCTTAGGTAGTACGGACATTTTAACAATATGAATTCTTTCCAATCCAGAGTATTTGTGTGTTCTTCCATTTCTTTAATCAATGTCTTATAGTTTTCAGTGCACAGATTTTTCACTTCCTTCGTTACATTTACTCCTAGGTAGTTTTTCTTTTAATGCAATTATAAATGTGATTGTTTTCTTAATTTTTCTTTCTGATATTTCATTATTAGTGTATGGAAATACACTGGTTTTCCATATTGGTTTTGAATCCTGAAACCTTACTGAATTTGTTTATTAGTTCTAATATTTGGTGGAATTTGGTGGAATTTTTAGGGTTTTCTATATAGAATATGTTATCCACAAATACAGACAGTTTTCCTTCTTCCAAATTAGAAAAGAAACAAATGATTCTTTTAAAAGATCAAAGACTTGCTGCTGAAAATAAAAATTTATAGTAGTCTGTATAATGGTGGAATGAAGGAGAGATACTTTCACTCACGGAACTAAACAGAAATGGCTGTCATCAGGATGTTATCACTGTAATTTGTCACACAATTTTTTGTGTGACATGTTATGGACATCTCTTTCCTCTGACTGTCACCCTTGGGCTATAAGCTGTCAAAGGTAATGGAAAAAGGATTTATAAAAAGCTAATTGTTACAACCTTTAAGTGTCACTTTCCCTTAGGTTCACAAGCAATAACTTAGCTGGGCTAGGAAACAAGTGTTTGATTTAACTATTTCTGTAGTTAATAATAAACCATAGGTACTCATGATTTAATGTTTATTTGAGAGAGAGAGTGCATGCATGCATGCACATGAATGAGGGTGAGCAGGGGAGGGGCAGACAGAGAGAAAGAGAGAGAGAGAGAGAGAGAGAGAGAGAGAGAGAATGCCAATCAGGCTCCACGCTGACAGCATTGAGGCCCAACTCAGGGTTCCATCTCACGAACCCTGAGATCATGGCTTGAGCCAAAATAAAGAGTTGGATGCTTAACCAACCGAGCCACCAGGCACCCCATCTGACTTCAATTTAAAGCAATAAGATAATGTCCTATATACTTTCAGGGAAGTCTAGATCATTTTGTCAAGACTCAGTCCAAGATAAAAGGTATGCCTCAAAGTACCTGAAATATCAGGGAATGAGAATGATGCCAATTTGGGGATGGTTTACTGCAGAGGGGACGGGGTAGGTTTGATCCTGCTGCTGTTGCTGTTGTAGAAGAAGATCACAACATTAGTATAAATTGTTTAGATGAATGGAAATAGGTAGAATTGGATTTTGCATCTAGGTCTGCCTGACTCCGTAACCTATCCTTCCAACACTACTCAGTTCACCTGTAACATGTGTTCCTATATTCTATTAATTCCTCACTTGTCTCTTTGATAATGTGCCTGACTCATCAGATCCCCATTAGAAATCTGCTTTTTTTTTAATTGGGAAACCATTTGGCTTTAGATTTACATAATAGAAACCAGTGGAATTTTTCTAGTACTTTTGAACAAATGACTTTGTTTTAGAGAAAAAAGGCATTCATTTTTAAGTATTTAGATGTATCCTATAAGCATCCTCAATATAAAAGTTAAAGATCCGGGGCGCCTGGGTGGCGCAGTCGGTTAAGCGTCCGACTTCAGCCAGGTCACGATCTCGCGGTCCGTGAGTTCGAGCCCCGCGTCGGGCTCTGGGCTGATGGCTCAGAGCCTGGAGCCTGTTTCCGATTCTGTGTCTCCCTCTCTCTCTGCCCCTCCCCCGTTCA